CTGTCCCTGAGTAACAATTCTGTGTCTGTCCCTGAGTAACAATTCTGTGTCCCTGAGTAACAATTCTGTGTCCCTCAGTAACAATTCTGTGTCTGTGTCCTCAGTAACAATTCTGTGTCTGTAACAATTCTGTGTCCCCCTGAGTAACAATTCTGTGTCTGTCCCTGAGTAACAAATTCTGTGTCCCTCAGTAACAATTCTGTGTCCCTGAGTAACAATTCTGTGTCTGTCCCTGAGTAACAATTCTGTGTCTGTCCCTGAGTAACAATTCTGTGTCTGTCCTCCCTGAGTAACAATTCTGTGTCCCTCAGTAACAATTCTGTGTCTGTCCCTGAGTAACAATTCTTCTGTGTCCCTAAGTAACAATTCTGTGGCCCTAAGTAACGTTTCTGTGTCCCGTTTCTGTGGCCCTAAGTAACGTTTCTTTGGCCCTAAGTAACGTTTCTGTGGCTCTAAGTAACGATTCTGTGGCCCTAAGTAACGTTTCTGTGGCCCTAAGTAACGTTTCTGTGGCCCTAAGTAACGATTCTGTGGCCCTTAGTAACGTTTCTGTGGCCCTAAGTAACGTTTCTGTGGCCTTAATTAACGTTTCTGTGTCCCTAAGTAACGTTTCTGTGTCCCTAAGTAACGATTCTGTGGCCCTAAGTAACGTTTCTGTGGCCCTAAGTAACGCTTCTGTGTCCCTAAGTAACGATTCTGTGGCCCTAAGTAACGTTTCTGTGTCCCTAAGTAACGTTTCTGTGTCCCTAAGTAACGTTTCTCTGGCCCTAAGTAACGATTCTGTGTCCCTAACTCTCTCCCTCAATACAGCCAGGTCTGCCTCTCTTGAATGACTGGAGGCAAATGGCGAATTCTAAAATGGCCGCAATTTATAGCTCGACCATTACACAGTGCTGGCTGGCTGGCTGCTGATTGGCTAATGCGATCACATGTCATGAATGAATGCATTATGGGTCAGCGCGCCTTGTCTGCGTGCCTTCCCAGAGATCCCCGCTCCGTCGCCGCACATGTCGCCGCCATTTTTGGAAAAATTTCGATTCGCGCATCCGAAGTCTGCTAATCTTCGGATTCGTCACGAATCAAAATTTTTCTAATATTCAAAACGAATTCCACTTCGCCAAGTTCGATTCGCTCATCTCTAGCCGTGATGTAGGACTCCAGAAATATGGCCGCCGGCATTATTAGAGCTATGAGGAGGAGCTGTTACCCGTGGAGACTGGAAATAGACTGGGTATAAAGGTAGTGAGCTGCGCACCAAAAGCGATACCCCGAGGAAGTCACGAGGTTGGTGACGTAACGCGTAGGTACGCCGTGACGGAGCTTCCGGAGCGCAGTGACGCACTTCCGGCGTCGGATGCCATTTTGAGGAATCTGAAAGTCCCCTATTCATGCAGTATACCCTAGCATGAGTGATCTGCTGTTACATTTAAAGAGAAATGTGAGTGGGCATTTTTACTGTTTAAAATAAAAGGAATTGTTTTTCACCTACTACACTATGTAGGATCTTTTTTCTCTCAACCTGGGAGGTGTGAGATATATTTAACAGAAAATCTTCCTGTGAGGCCTGGTTTAAGTTGGAGAGGAACTACAGGTCCCAGAACCACCTGCCACAGTTGGAGTAGGATCCAGGGAGATCCTGAAAGTGAAGTGGTCCGTTGGGTTGCCGAAGGGAGGTGAGGAGGTAATCTAGCCATTAAGGATTTGAGTGTGCTGACACATTCACAGTTACCTTCACCACACTATGCTGCATGTTTTTGAAGCACAAGTTTATGGACATTTATATTTATGTAGAATTTAGTGTGTTTGATCCCATTTTCACTTTATCACTTTTATTCCCCTGGTATAGGGGTCCTTATATTTGTTTTAAGGTGTCACATGATTTACTTTGTTGTATTATTCACTGAATGTAGAGCACTAAGGTGACTTTAGGTCATGTGATATATTTATATATTTATATTTTTGTGGCACGTTTTATATATATATATTTATATTGGATGTACATTATTTGGGGGGTTTTTAGGGTTAATAGAGCGCTGCACTATAGTTGTTTGTGTTGTTATCACTGTTAAGGTATCAGTTTGAGTGACAGCTGCTGATCTTTAGGTCACTTCCTTTAGCGCAGGAGGATTCTTTATTATTATTAGGTTTAACGCCACGAGTTCTGGTCTTATACAACTTGCTTGGAGTGGTTGGAGTCACCACACTTACGGATTGGCTTGGGAGGATTACCAATCCCTCTTCTTTGGGTGTCCAGAGGAAAATTCTCTCCATCCTTTTCCCTGGAGTTTTTTTTTAAAAAAGCGTGATTGACCACTCTTAATAGGGGTCACACACTTTCTGGTAAGCCTTGCATGCAAATGATTGGTGTCACACACTGGCTATCTTCAGAAGTCTTCCTATCTCATCATGGCGTTTGGGGACTGTTCTGTTTTTTATTTCATCATTTGAGATTTCACTCATGAACATTTTGAATCACTTTTTGAACTTTATTTTGTTTAGAATGTTTAAATGCTGCACTTTATTTGTACACAGAGTTGTCTATGAAGCCCCAAATTCTTGCAGGTGGCATAACTGCCCATTTGTCTTGGCAAAATGCCTCCAGGTCATGCAAAGTCTTTGGTCGTCTTGCATGAACCACACTTTTGAGATCTCCCTAGAGTGGCTTGATGATACAGTATATAAGGTCAGGAGACTGTGATAGCCAGTCCAGAATCATCACCTTTTTCTGCTGCAACCGCTGTAGGGGCAACTTGGCCTTGTGCCTGGGGTTATTGTCATGCTGGAAAGTCCAAGAGTGTCCCATGCTCAGCTTTCATGCAGAAGAATGCAAATAGTCTGCCGGCATTTTCTGACAACATGCTGCATTTATCTGTATTATTATTATACAGGATTTATATAGCGCCAACAGTTTGCTCAGTGCTATAAAATATAAATATCTTGCCATCACTTTTCACAAGATTCCACTTGCCTTTAGAGCTCACACCCCCTAAAAAAACATCAATGAGCCACCACTATGCTTCACAGTGAAGATGGTATTTTTATCACTATAGGTCTTGTTGACCCCTTTCCAAACACATTGCTTATGGTTGTGACCATAAAGCTCTATTTTGGTCTTGTCACTTCTGGTTACAGTGTGCTTGAAGCTGTAAGGCGTGTCAAGGTGTTGTCGGACATATTGGAACTGGGCTTTTTTTTGTGGCATTGGTGCAGTAAAGGCTTCTTTCTGGCAACTTACTAGATTGTAAACTTTAACAAGCAAGGCCCTCTGTTTCCTCTTGTGCCAAATTGTATTGTAACTGTAATGTCTACCTTCATTTTGTAAAGCGCTGCACAAACTGTTGCCGCTATATAAATCCTGTATTAGAATAATAATATTAACTAGTGAAAATTAAATGAGATGCTGCTGCGCTTATGGAATAAACCTATATACAAAAATAACCATGTGCTGCAGCAGTCCTAATTGTGAACTAAGTAGACACAAAAATAACAAAATATACCATACAGACTGCACGTAAATGGTGTGACAGAAAAAAATGTAATATATTAATAAATATAATAACCAGTACACATTTAAAAAAAAACTTTTAGTGCAGTCCCAGTGTACAAATAAAGAGCAAACGTGCTGTTCCTTGATAATCCACACTGTATTTAAGGTGACAAGTGCTTCATAGTGCTCAGACTGGTGCCCCACATGGATTTACACTCACCATCCTGCCATGACCACCTATCTCTAGATAGGTCACTAGCGCTTTAATTGGGACTGCCCCAGAGTGCCTCGTGTTAATGGTACCAATGCTTTTTCCCCATATACTCTGCGCTGTTGCCAATGGTAACCAGCATATATTCACTGAGTAAGGTTGTAAGTGATAACCAGTGCTCCTGTTCTGGGATTTGTTAGATACTAGCACTGCTCCTCTCCTCCACAGGAAATACGTATGTAGTCATCATAGAAGAAATAAAAAAAACGGACATCCCATAGTGTAAAACTGTTAACTTTAATGCTGGGGATAAAAATTTGAAGTAAAACTCACAAAATTAGTGCCTTTCCCTTAGCACTGAGTGTGTTCAGCTCTGTTAGTATATTTGGAAGAAAAAGATGGCCACCGCGTTCCAAAGGGCGGAAATGATGTCGGCGGAAGTTACGTCATCAAACAGAGGTCTTCAATCTTCGTCAAGAGATCCCCGAATTTTCCACTTCTTGATTGAACAGTACTGACTGGCATATTCAAGGCTTTGGATATCTTTTCAGATCTTTTTCCATCTTTAGAAAGTTCTGTTACCTTGTTACGCAGGTCTTTTGACAGTTCTTTTCTGCTCCCCATGATTCAGTATCTAACCTGCTCAGTGCATCCATGTGAGAGCTAACAAACTCATTGACTATTTACACACAGACACTATTTGCAATTTAAAGTCATTTAAAAAGTAACCTTTAATTGCCATTTTAACCTATGTGTGTCACCTTGTGTGTCTGTACCAAGGCCAAACATTTCAGGGTATGTAAACTTTTGATCGGGGCCACTTGGGTGATTTCTGTTATCATTATGATATATAAAGAAGCCAAACAACTATGTAATAATAATTGGCTTCATATGATCCTTAAAAAAAAGACAGTTTTTTGGCATGATCAGTCATATTTTCAATATCAATGCCAAAATGTCACGATTTGTGCCAGGGTATGCACACTTTTGAGCACAACTGTGTGGGTATATATAGTCAGTAGGACTTAAGTTTTACTCTGCAGGCTATAAAAAATCTTCATGAGTCTAACTCTTTGTACAACATGCATCACCAGATATTACATTCCATGTGAAATGCAGCAGGAAAAGGAAATAAGACATAGACATCACCAGTAGTATGATTCTTTTTTACATTGCATTTTTACATTTACATTTTATATATTAGCTTTAAGGGGTATTGTGCCCATTTTGTAGCCAGCCTGGAGTAGATAAAAAAAAATTAACACTAACAGAGGTATGTTTAATAAGGAATCCAATATCTATCAGATGTTATTCAAACTGAGGAAATAAAGTTGTATGTAAAGGTTATATGCAGTAAGAGAAATGGTCAGTAATTCAGTCTATGGTTTTGTTTCTTAAGAGTATTGCTATCAGTGTGAACACAGACTGCACACTTCCTCTTGGAATTCCCAGTGACATCGCCTCTCCTGTGGACAGGTGAGGCTGAACAAACAAAAGCTGTGATCTGTGTAGCTTGTTTATTTTATTGTGTATATTTGTGATATTTCTATCATCTAATTTTGGGTATAAATTGTTAAGATCTCATGCTCACTTCTTATCCTTCCAGTTATGCATCAGAGGCCTCAGGGCTGAGTGATGGTTGTGAAGGCCAATCAGCAGGAGAGCGGAATGCTAATTCACCTGTTAAGAAGACACCCGGCAAACTTCTCCGACGTAAAGCAAGATCCAGGCTTCGCATTATCAATGTAAGTTCTTATCTGATTGGGTTTCATTTTAGATTATTTAACCACTTCCCCTTCTATAGGAACTACCCAAACATCCTTAGTTGGGAGGGTGATATCTTGGTCATCGCTGCAGTTGCAGCTGCAGTGATGACCAAGATACAGCTATAATTTTTTAGAACCGGCCATTCTGTATCTTTTAAAAGTAATCCAAGCAGCTAAATAGCCACTGGATTACTTTTACAGGTGCCAGTAGGGGGTCCTTCCCTCCTGCTACTGCCTCGTTTATCGGGCTCCCCCATGCAATCGGGGAGCCCAGTAAGGATGTGACCGGTGGCATCCCATTCCTGATACAGAGTGAATTTTGTCACTTCCGCTTTTGATCTCACATAAATAAGCCATTACCGGTTTGAACAAGCATCAGGTCACACTGATTTTGGTGTGATCTGATATTTTGGAGGGTAGAGGAGAGCTATGGGGTCTAATAGATCCCAGATCTCTCCAAAAGGAGGACCTGTTGTGGCCCATGCTATCACAAGGGATGTTTATATTCCTTGTGACAGAAATAAAAGTGATAAAAAAAAGTTACAGTGTAAAAAAAAATTCAAACAAAGTAAATAATAACATTAAAAAAAGTTTTTAAAGCACAAAGGCAAACACATGAGTCGGTCCTGAATGCATATGTAAATGGTGATCGCACCATACATGTGAGGTATCACCATGAACATCAGAGCAAGAGCAATAATTCTTTTGCCAGACCTCCTGTGTAACTCTAAACTGGTAACCTGTAAAGGCTTTTAAAACATTGCATATTGAGATATTTAGGTACTATAGTTTGGCGCTGTTCTACGGGCGTACGCAATTTTAAGGTGCAACATGTTTGGTATCCATTTACTCAGTGTGACATAATCTTTCAGATTTTACCAAAAATTTGGGAGTTATATTGTGTTTTGGGGCATTAAAATTCATTAAAGTGTATTTTCTAAAAAAATGCAGCACCCACCTTTTTTTTCTCTAGGGCCTCTGTTTAAAAACATATATAATGTTTGGGGGTTCTAAGAAGTTTTCTGGCAAAAAATATGTTTTTTTTACATGTAGGAAGAGGATTGTCAGAATTGGGCCTGACTGGAAGTGGTTAAAACAAAGAAAAGTGTTACTAATGCAAACAAAAAAAAAATTAGAGAATGATTTAGTTTTTCAAGTCCTTCTTTTGAAAAGTTATTTTCTCTAAACAGGATTTTAAATAAAGCAAAATAAAATGTTTATCATGAGCTGCTCTGGAATGCTTTTTAATAACTTTATAGGTATGGTACCTCCACAGTATATTCTTGGGTAAAAACATTAACATTACTATAGCAAATCATTAAAAACATAAAAACCCTGTTAATTTAGACCATGTTATGCTACTTTCAATGCAATAGTATTATGCTGTCTCTTTTTTTTTCATGATTTTTTCCAACTCGCAATCCTATATTTTTAATTTCCTAATAGTAGCATTCCGAACGAATGTGTCCATGTTTTTTTTTTAACATCCACTGGACTTATGTATAAGAGTGCTTGATTAAATAACTTTTCCCCATTGCAGTTATTTTCCAACATCATCATAACTTGGTTTGCATTCCATGGCTTTTGCAGTCCAGCTTGTTTTGGCTTTGTATCTTATCCTCTCTTCATGAGTCCCCTCCAGTCAACTCACCACCCTGTTGTATTTTGCAAAAGTTGCGCTTGTCCATGTCAGTGCCTGAAGCTAAGGAAGTTGGGGATAGTGAGAGCAGTATATTTATAGGCATTGCATCTTTCCAGGTCTACTTCACTGCTGTAATACTCTAACTCAAGGATAATATGCTACAGCTATCAAGGTAATGAAGTTTAGGAATGCTCTCCACATTTGGTTCTCACATAAAGTGTCTCCATTGCCCCTTGCTCCTTTGTGACTATTCATGCACAACCTCCACCAATCTGCATTTTGCTTAATATATCTGCAAATTCTAAATAAACGTGATTACTTGCATTTGTTCACTGGTCCATCCATTATAATATGTGCTTTTCTGTGAAATACTCCCACTGGAGGTTCAGATGCTGATGCTCTGTATCTTATTACTGCTGTGTTTGTTCAGGTGGCTTCTGACAAAGGAATATACTATGTAGGTGCTATAGGTCATGTAAGCATCCTAGAGCAACTAATGATAAATGTTTCCATTTGTTTTGTTTGATATGCATGTTGATATTCAAAAATATAGCAAGCTCAGAGTACAATTTTGAGAATACTTTTGTCACTGTAGGGTTCTTTTGAAACTGAGTTGTCCCGCTGTTCCTTCTCCATTGCTTCAGAAAAGGAGTGAATAAAAAACTATATGGAGCATCTATTTTTATGAGCAGTATAAACAAAGAATTTGTTTGCAATTTGGTGGCTTTGTACAAGATTTTAAAAAAGTTCATTTTCAGGATTTTAATACTATGCAAAAACTCAACAGTAATGGTTTCTTATGCTTTTCTTATATCAATTCTCCTCTTCAGCTGTTAAATGCTACTAACAATTTATAGAGACATCACACTCATTCAATGTCACTTATGCCTCCAATAGAAACGGTTTTAATGTAAAAACCTGAAAATATGCTACATTTTTCCTTTTATTGATAATGATAAGTGTTTTGATATTCTTTTTGTCTAGATCTCAGATAAGAGTGATCGAGTTGTAGAGTGTCAGCTGCAGACCTACAACGGTAAGATGGTCACATTCAAGTTTGATCTAGATGGAGACAATCCGGAGGATATTGCAGCAGTTATGGTAAGTGAAGGTGCTTTGTGATATTTTTGATGAAAGCTGATGTGCATTGAGGCAGCGGAATAGTGTTCTGGTTTGAACTCATTAATATAATTGAAGCATGATCGTTATTAAGCTTATTCAGTAAGGCAGAGAGCACACATTAACTCAAAGTAATCATTCAGAATTTACCTTTCCTGGATCAGCTTGAGTAATCCAGGAATCTGGTTTGTTGCTATGAGTTTGTGCACATCACCTTTTTTTAACTCACTTATTGAGTAAACTTGCAGAAAGTATTGTAGCAATCATGCACACAGATGGACGCGGTCATCCATTTTGCTCCCAAACCCCTCCATATTGTATCTCTCTCTCCCAAATCAGATTCCTCCGACATCCCCACTCCCTCTCCATTGAGTGACATGTGGTCTGTTTGTTGCAGAGATCACAGGCAGTAAACTCATTGGGAGGGCGTCATGCCTATAAAACCCCCAGCCGAGCTGGTGCCTAGATGCCTGTTACTTCTCAATCTGGGATATCGTAAAGCCATAAACCAAGTCCCTCACTGAGCTCAAAGACATTCTAGATTAGCCATAAAACGGACTCACATTTAAACATCCATTTTCCCCTATGATTACATAACTCTGATTATGAAAGACTTACACAAACATGGAGCACATATTCGGATGGCTCACTTTAATACAAACCATTTGGTATAATACACCCCCTAGCTGGCATATACAGGAGAGCAGAAAATTATATCTCTGTAACCATCCAAGCAGGTATCTCATATTTCATATGTAGATGTTCCGCAGAAGATTCTGGGTATTAATCTACTCGTGGATAGAATGTTATATGTACCTAGGAAAAGTTATTGGCCATAGTATAATTTGTGAAGGCTTTGGTCATAGCCTGAGGCCCCTGCCTACACAACCCCCTCCCCAAATGAGGCAATTGGTTCTCTGCTTCAGGGAGACACCCTGCTGAGTTCCTAGATAAAGGCTGTTGTGCTTGAAGTAAAGCTGAGCTGAGTTGAGAAAAGTGGAAGAATCTCCCTTTTTAACATCGGAACTAACTTTGGGAGATAAAGCATCCTTTTGGCCCATGAACGCTGATCTGCTTAAACCAGGACATTTGGGAAGTACTTTACCTCCCTAAATTCCTTTCTGTTACCTCTTTACTGTGCTATTGTTCTCTGTATATTTATATATATTGACTGCATCTTTTTCTGTAAATATTTTTATCACACCCTTTTGACCTTTTAGTAATAAATCTTACTTTCTGAAAGTGTTGAACTATTTCTAAAGCTCTTTAATGCAAACTAAAGAACCCCCTGCCTCTGAAAAGCGCTACTGTGTGTGTGTTTTAAATTTCGGTATATCTCTGCCTGCGATGATAGTGGTATACCGACGATTATTCAAACATCATAGTGTTATTGCTGATATTGCCGAGTTTCCTCTTTCTCTGTACAAAAAGGAGGTGGTGGCAGTGTGAAGGGTTAATTGCGTAATTAACCTGACCCAGTAACAATCGCTCTCAGGCTGCAGGTACACATATTGGCTGGCAGCGTACGTGGGATAGTTTAGAGCTTCAGTGCATTGTTAGGAATTAGCTCTGCACTGAAGGATTGTAACCTTTGTGGAAACAGTCCTTAGAAACAAGCGGTGCATATTTTATATATATATATAGAGAGAGACATATAGCAACAGCTCCTTCCTTTTTCTACTTTCTATTCTATCTTTGCTTGCAATTATGCCTGGTGACGCAAAATACAGGAAAATGAGTAAAAGTGATTTGAGTATGGAATGTACCTCACGAGGAATTGACGTCGGTCGCAAAACTCGTGAAGATTTGATTCATGACCTACAGGAGCATGATAGCCGAGCAGACCAGAACTCATTGGAACTTGACCATGAAGGGGTTCCAGCTACCTCCGATCCCAGTGGCTCAGAGATGGCCTCGCAGGATGGGCATACAGAGACTGACACTGGAGTATCATCAAATGTTATCTTCACACCACAGCCTGAGCAGGCCAACATCGGAATGCCTGTAACCAGCAGAGACTCTCCTCAGATGCCGGAAGCCTTGAAACGCATCATGGAGACAGATCCTGGGGCATACTTGCAGTTCCTTGAACGCCAGGCTGACAGAGAGGCTGCAGAATGCCGGGCAGCATTGGACAATGAAGCTGCGGAATGCCAGGCTGAAAGAGCAGCTGAGAGAGAGGCGGCGCAGAGGGAAGCTGATCGTTGGCACGAACTGGAGATGATGAGGCTCCAGCAGCAGCGACAGGTTCAGAACCTCGGGTCCCTAGAGCTTAGGGACGTCTCTCTAGCCGTAGGCACAGCAGCCAAGTGTCCAGTGCTGGAAAAAGATAGTGACATTGACGTGTATTTACTGTCATTTGAAAAAACTTGCTATCAGTACCATCTGCCCCAAGCACAATGGGCTCGGTACCTGACACCAGGGCTACGAGGAAAGGCCCTGGATGCGTTTGTCGAATTGCCAGAGGGGCAGGACGACAATTACGAAGCTCTAAAAGATGCCATCGTCCGGAAGTACCAGATGACCCCGGAAGTGTACTGCAAGCGGTTTAAGTCCTTGCAAAAGGGACCTGGGGACTCTTACACGGATGTGGCAAGTCGCTTATGCACCACATTCTGGCAGTGGACTAAAGGACTGAAAGCTGACTCCTACGATTCTTTGGAGGATCTCCTGATATGAGATTAGTTCCTACATATCTGCCCGGCCGACGTCAGACAGTTTGTCTTGGAGAGAGAGCCCAGCATCTGCCAAAGCTGCAGTCGATATGGCAGATACCTATGTCCACACGCGGGTGTCTGATCATCGCAAGGCTCCTCCAAATGGCTGGAAAGGAGGGAAATCACCCATAGCAACCCCTCCTACGCCGGTGAGTCAAGCTCCCTCTCACCCAACACCTGCAGTACTTGGAGCTAAGCCATCCCTGCCTGACAACCGCAGATGTTACACCTGTGGGAAGTCCGGACATCTCAGGATGCAGTGTCCTGAGCAGAAGCAGATGACATCACCTGGCCAGCAACTCTTCTTCTGTGCTGTTTGTCCGCAGGAAGATGCGGGTAACCCCCGCCAACTTGCAGCCAGTCACTGTGGGCAACCGGTCTGTAAATGGTTTCCGTGACACCGGGGCAGAAGTCACCTTGATCCGACCAGAGGTGATTAAGCAAAGGAACCTCATCCCAGGAAAGTTCCTTACCCTCATGGGAGTTGGGCGGACCCGTTCACGCATACCCTGTGCAAAGGTATTCATAGATTGGGGTGTAGGAAGGGGGATTAGGGAGGTGGGGATCTTGGATGAAATTCCCACACCTGTTTTGTTGGGTGCCGATTTTGGTACTCTTGTGTCCTATTATGCCTCTGCCGAGAATACCAGGAAGGCCCCCCTGGAACTCTCTGGACCTGCCAAGGTACTGTGTACAGATGTTGGGGTAATATCTGGGCAACCTGTGGATGGACAGAGGGAGGGGGCTGGGAATAGAGTGGGGCTACAGGATTCTCCATTAGCTGGAGGAGGAGAAGAAATCCCCTTGCATGGGGAGGTAATGAACTCTTGTGTCATTAATAGTACAAACGTAACTGTTGATGATGATGATGATAATGATGACGATGATGCTGACATTGAGAATGTTGATAATAATGTTGATAATGCTAATGATGATGATGATAATAATGATGGTGGCCCTGATGATAATAATGATGCATTTTCATTGTTTGGGGTCACCCACAGTGCTGTGAAGTGGGCAGAGAGGTACAATCTCTGGGGTCTGAGCAAAGGGATAGTCTTGATAGGCCTGTTCCTTGCCCAGGCACAGAGGATTCTACCTTGAAAATCCCCCAGCCGTTGTCCTGGCATGGTACTGGACAGCCGACTGGTACTTGTAGTCGCACGGGCAAGACAGCACTGAAAAGTGATCAACACGTGGACTTCAGCAGCAAGCTAGCTGTGAGCTTCCCTGCTGAGAAAGGTAAACAACAGCTGGTTAGGACTTGTAGTCCCACGGGCAAGGCAGCCCTAGAGCCTGGCCAGGATGTTGCATTCCTCTGCAGGCTAGCTATGAGCGTCCCTGCTGAGAAAGGTAAACAAGGGCTTGACGGGGATGGTGAAATGAATGGTCTACCAGCAGGGGGCTTGGGGACTGAAAGAGTGTCACCTGATCTGGCCTGTCAAAGTGTGTGGAGAGAATCTGAAGCTAGGGAGGAAACCCCCTTCAACTATTGCTGGCTTAGATTCCCTCCCCAACCACCAGGCAGGCCCACATATGCCCTGGGCGGTGACAGCACACCTGGATTGGAACTTTCCATTCAGGTACAGAAGCTGCTGGCAAGGCCTATGGTAGATGGTGTCTGGGTTCAGGGAAACCCGGAGAGAAACCTGGAGAGAGCTCACCGCGCTGTTCATGAGTTGGATCCTTCCCTCATGCCTTCGGCCCACCTCATCTCACAGGAGGTGCAGACTGAATGGGCCAAAGAGACAGAGGGAATAGCGCAGTCAGGAATCCAGAGGTCCCGCAGAGTTTGGGCGTCACGATCCCCAAACAGGATCAGATGACCAGGCTTTGTGAGAACCTTGGAAAACTGAGCGCCAGCCCTGTTGTTGTGGCCCACCCCATGCCCAGGAGCCATGAGGTAATGAAGCATCCGGCCGGTGCCCGCTGTCTAACCATCATGGACCTGAGCAGAGGGTATGGGCCACCATCTCTAACCCAGGAGGCTCAGAACGAGTCAGCCTTCACCACCCCATGTGGCTTGCCTGAATTCATGGGAAAGATAGCTGGGGTTGAGAACGCACCAACCACCTCCCCAGGGGTCAGGAATGACCTACAATGTGCAGTGGAACTGTGTGCAGTTGCCCACTTTAGGGGCCTTGCAGGGATTCGGCCCAGTCTGGGAAAAGCAACTTGGGCCCCTGACACTAGTCAGGAACAAACTGCTCGTGCCTAGCCTGACAGTTGAAAATGGTAACTGTCAGAGGGGCATGTCAGTGGTTCAGCCTTGAGAACCACCGGTAGGAAGAGACCCGCAGAGGTCTGGGAATGGGGAGAATGAGGCAGTTATGGCCTGGCCTTCTCCCCAGGCCAAAAAGCAGGTTACGCCAGTCCTGGGTGCAGCTAGCTACGGTACGATGCCTGGGTGCAACTATCATGGCTCAGCAGAACCTGTACTGATCTAGCAGACAGGAAACTGTTGGAAATGGTGTCCTGGATGCTAGCAGGTAAAGAGGACTGTTCATCCTGGACGAAGGTACCTGTAGATTCATCTGGATGGCGAGTTCCAGAATTCGCCTGCCTGGTTCCAGTGCACACAGGCGCCACTACCTTCGGGTCAGATGTAGTTCTGGGTCTGAGGAAGGAGATTGGAGAGGGAAATCTCATTCTCTACCTCGACAAGAAGCTACATGTCAATATGTTAGCATATGACACCCCTAAACAGAAGTGTTGTGTGAACAGGTGGGCACCACGGCAGTTGCCACGATGTCCGGGTAGTTACAGCCAACTGGTGCTCACCCCTAACAACTCACTTGGTTGGCACAACAGTGTTGCTCGGGAGAACAGCACCCTTCTCAGAAGGAACCGGGTTCTCCCGCAGTGCGGTGATACCAGATCACCCCAAGGTGAACCTCTGGGCACAGTGGCTCCGTGCCCTGGTCAGGCAAACCAGCAGCAGAAGTCGGTTGCGTCACGAGGGAAATTGCAGTCCCCTCCCATGCAACCACCTGAGGGGGGAGGTGTAGCAATCATGCACACAGAGATGGACGTTGTCATCCATTTTGCTCCCAAATCCCTCCATATTGTATCTCTCTCTCTCCCAAATCAGATTCCTCTGACATCCCCGCTCCCTCTCTGTTGAGTGACATGTGGTCTGTTTGTTGCAGAGATCACAGGCAGCAAACTCATTGGGAGGGCGTCATGGCTATAAAACCCCCAGCCGAGCTGGTGCCTAGATGCCTGTTACTTCTCAATCTGGGATATCGTAAAGCCATAAACCAAGTCCTTCACTGAGCTCGAAGACATTCCAGATAAGCCATAAAACGGACTCACATTTAAACATGCATTTTCCCCTATGATTACATATCTTGGATTATGAAAGACTTACACAAACATGGAGCACATATTCGGTAGGCTCACTTTAATACAAACCGTTTGGTATATTACACCCCCTAGCTGGCATATACAGGAGAGCAGAAAATTATATATCTTTAACCATCTAAGCAGGTATCTCATATTTCATATGTAGATGTTCCGCAGAAGATTCTGGGTATTAATCTACTCGTGGATAGAATGTTATATGTACCTAGGAAAAGTTATTGGCCATAGTATAATTTGTGAAGGCTTTGGTCATAGCCTGAGCCCCCTGCCTACACAACCCCCTCCCCAAATGAGGCGATTGGTTCTCTGCTTCAGGGAGACACCCTGCTGAATTCCTAGATAAAGGCTGTTGTGCTTGAAGTAAAGCTGAACTGAGTTGAGAAAAGTGGGATAATCTCCCTTTTTAACATCAGAATTAACTTTGGGAGATAAAGCATCCTTTTTGGCTCATGAAACCTGATCTGCTTAAACCAGGACGTTTGGCAATTACTTTACCTCCCTAAATTCCTTTCTGTTATCTCTTTACTGTGCTATTGTTCTCTGTATATTTATATATATTGACTACATCTTTTTCTGTAAATATTTTTATCACACCCTTTTGACCTTTTAGTAATAAATCTTACTTTCTGAAAGTGTTGAACTGTTTCTAAAGCTCTTTAATGCAAACTAAAGAACCCCTGCCTCTGAAAAGCGCTACTGTGTGTGTGTTTTAAACTTCGGTATATCTCTGCCTGCGGTGACAGTGGTATACCGACAATTATTCAAACATCATAGTGTTATTGCTGATATTGCCGAGTTTCCTCATTCTCTGTACAAAAAGGAGGTGGTGGCAGTGTGAAGGGTTAATTGCGTAATTAACCTGACCCAGTAACAATCGCTCTCAGGCTGCAGGTACACAGGTTGTGGTCCATTAGCTGGAAAATCTGTGTGCAGGTGCAGCTTAGTGTGGCATTGTTACAACGCGGTTTTAGATTGGCTAGTCCTTCGGTCATGAGTTTGGTGAGAAGGGCTGGGGTCTGACGCCGCGATCGTCACAAGTATGCCATGGCATCATGCTGTGGTAGCTCTGTAAAGTTATGGCATGGGTCTTCAAAAGCATAAATCTAGTACAGTCTCTGGAGAGTGCAAAATCTGATGCAGGTGTACATGGTAGCCAATCAGCTTCTAACTTCAGCTTGTTCAATGAAACTTTGACAATAAAACCTGGAAACTGATTGGTTTCTGTGCAGAGCTGCACTAGATTTAGCACTCTCCAGTTTTAGTAAATCAAATCCTATGCCTTGCTAACCTCCTTTAACACTACATGTTTACTATGAAGCAGTGCAGTAGCTGTAATAATAAAAATGTGAAAAATATACAAATCACAAATAATAGCGCAAACCAAATCACACAACTAAATATAGTCTCTGCATCCTGTGTCTCACCAGCTGCTGGTGGATAAGCCAAAACGGGTTACAGATAATAGACATCAGTGGGGGTTTATTTCTAATTACCATATACAATATAAGGCGGTTGAGGATATTTTTCAGAAACACTGGCATGTTTTGAAGCTTGATAAGATATTAGGGAGTGTTTATTTATAGGAAGGCGCCCACTATTGGTGATATAATTGTTCATAAAATCTTGGATCCACCAAGGGTTTTGAATATGTTTAGTAATATAAAAAAGGCTTTTATTCATGTAGAAGGTGCGCACTGCATGTAATGTGGTTAAACATAAATTTAGGGGATTGGTCAGATTCACCTCTAATTCTAATCAAAGGGAATTTGATATTTCCTCCTTTCTTACTTGCAACTCTACCCATGTAGTATATGGTTTAGAATGTCCTTGTGGCCATATTTACATTGAAAGGACTAAGCGACAGCTTAAGGTTAGGGTACTTGAACATATAAGGAATATCAGTAAGGGGTATAAGTACCATAGTGTATCTTTACACTTTAAGAGATACCATAATTGTGATCCAACTAATATCAAATTCTGGGCCATTGAATCCGTTCCTAAAGCATGGAGGGGTTCTAATAGAGTTAGGGAACTGTCAAAATGTGAAATGAAATGGATTTATTTGACTGAGGCTTTATCTCCTGGGGGTCTAAATGTCGAACTGGACTTAAATTGTTTTATAAGTGATTTATGATTAATTTGTTCATGTTATATGATTTATTATATAAGTTGCATGTTCTGTTTTTTTATTGATTTATATTTATATTATTTTAATCTTTATTGCAATATTATTTATGTAATTTTGGAATGTATTTATATAATATTTTTTTGATTATTTAGTTTAATTTTGAATATATTTTTTAATTATGTTTATATTGGTGCTATAATTAATTTTGAACACAAGATGGTGCTATTGTGATCAGGTGATCCAGAGTTCATTTAGATTGAATTCTACCTAGTGATAATAATGCACCCTCAGGTGTTTTTTGAGATTGGGCCAATTAGGAGACTTTTGGGTCTATATAAAGTGCTCGTTATGGAGAGCTCACCATTCCCTCGTTTCATTGAAAGAAACGCGTCAGTGTGTGGCCTTCCTGTGACGTCACCACTCATGCTGATGCACGTGTCCGGATCACGTGATCGCGCTATTACCATCTTGAATGCGGGTTGGCTGGTGAGACACAGAATGCAGAGACTGGAGCTCTGATATAACAAAACGCCTTGTTTTTATTTGCTCATTGTGAGTGTGATTTTAAGGGGGGTTTGTTTGGCAATAAATTTGTTGGATGATACTGCACTATGGCGAGTATTTTCTTTACACACATGTGCTAATCTGGATATGAGAGGATCTTCTCTGGAGTTTGTTTGGTGGTATGCTGGATACATAGTAGTATGCTGAGTAATTACCAACACATGAGGATCGTCCTTTGAAGTCTGTTTGGTGAATGCTGGATATATACTGACATGCTGGTTAATTACTAGCACATGGTGAGTGTGCATTTTGATGGGGTGTTTTTGAGCACTGAATACCACATTGCTTATGAAGGAGGATCTCATTACTTCATTTACTGAGGATCATGTTTATATGGACTTTTCTGAATGGACTATATTGAGATTCCCTATTTATTGATTTTTTGTTTGCACTATTAATATGCACTTATTTGGTGGTGGTTATATTTAGTTGTGTGATTTGGTTTGCGCTATTATTTGTGATTTGTATTTTTCACATTTTTATTATTATTTTGAGTTTTTTAATAATAGCAGCATCCAGTGAGTGTATTTCCTCTCTTTATTATATTGGCGCAATGATGTTGGTATAATAGAAGTGTTATATTTATTGGAACATTTCTTTGGTAACTAACTTTTTAGTGAGTGCAGTAGCCGTGTTTGATGAAATTCTCATTTTTTTTCCCCAGGTGAACAATGAGTTCATTATGCAGTCAGAAAGAGAAAGCTTTACCAACAGGATTAAGGACATCATCCACCGTGTGGAGGCCTTGCTAAAGAAAGATGCTAGTGGAGACAGAGAAGATGAGGGGGATGGGTTAGTTGCTGTGGAAAGCACATTTCCTCCCAATTTTCAGGTTTGTAGCAGAGATCTTCCCCATCCTATATTAAGGATAGAGACAAACGAAAGGGCAGTTATTGTAATAGAGGGGAAAGGTCATAATCTCTGTCAGTTTTTATTGCCGCTTGTGTCTCTGCTGGGCAATTTGCTGTTATTCCCATTGTGGCTGCCAGAACAATGAGTAAGGTGGCTCTCTAAAACAGAAAAAAGATTGCAAAGAAGCTCGGTGTTATGGAGGGTACAATGTGTCCCTGTTGCGGTGCTTAACCTCACCAGTTCTTTAAATGACCGTAAACTACTCTGTTTTAGCAAGAAAATTGTTTTGAGGCTAGAGACAACCATTTAATTTAGCTCCAAACTTCTTTCTTCAAGTTTTCATCAGTCATTTTCAGTGTAACCAATTCACACCCAATTTGAATACAAAGGCCAGCTAATGTTTTAGCTTTGCACAGTTGCTGGTAAGTTTAATCACATGCTGGTATATTTTGTTTCTCAATAATCACCAGAGTTGTCTTTTCATTACTCCAGTACCCAAGCCATTACAAGGCCAATACTTGTGTGACACTTCCACAGTTAATTCTTAATAAATTAGTAAAAAGCAATTTGGAGTCACCATTGTTGCCTTTTCTGAGTAAAGACACAAAGGAAAATTTTGCAATTGTGATCTCCAGCAAATATAAGATATTGGCAAATGTCTCAGCCCAATGGTGGCTTCAATTATGGGCGGAATACGCCTTTTAGTAATACAGAATGTTACTATACTCCAGTGAAACTGATATTTTATCACATATAATTATTTGTGTATTTAACAACAGACTGATCTTCAACTTCAAGAATTATCCCGTTCCTTCTCCTGCTCATCTCTCAGTGGTAAGCAAATATTCCAAATAGACCTCTCATGGCTTCCATCTGAAGAGGTATCTTCCTCTATGACAAGAGTATTGTTACATTTTTATAGCAGCTGGAAAAACAGTCACTGGCTTAAGACCTGTTGCAAATGTCAAGCTCTTTACTTTATTTAAAAGGGACTTAAAGAAGCACTGTCCTGGAATTGGGTTTCACACTTTTCCCTAATTCTAGACAGTTTTACCATAAGGGTGGCATTATTTATCCTCATAAATCATAAAGGCAAGCATTCCTAGCAACCGTGAAGGGCAAATAAGCAGTAATGTACCCTTCTGAGATTCAGTAGTACTTGTTTTTATATGAAGAGATTTGTAGGAAAGTATATTTAGCTGATGTTTAGTTCATTTTCATCACAGAAAATGGATTTGTATTTTGCATGACATTACTATCAACTTAGGCAGTAAAGGTAAAAAGAAAGTAGCAAGGCTTGGTGATGAGCATTGTAGATGAAGAAAGGCAAATCTCTTACCTTTGGGTGCCAAGACAACCTTTCTAACAATACTGTAAATACAGAAATATGGACTTTTTAGGCAGCACAACAACCCAAATAACAACATAAAACATACACTTTTATTAGATTCTATATAAAAGCAATTAAAATCAATAGCCCTAAACATAACTTAAAGCTATTTTAATTGCTTTGATATAGAATTTAATGAAAGTGTATGTTTTAGACCGTTATTTGGCTTGTTGTGGTGCCCATAACATCCATATTTCTGTCTTACTATTAATAGATCAATTTGACAGACATGGCACTTGGTAACAGTTAATGTTGTATGGTCCACCATGATACCACCTGGTGCAGTTCCATCTTTCTAACAAGCCAAGAGGTTGCTGGTTGCCACTGTTCCTGTGTGTGTGCTAGAAGCCTCCGAACCCGATGAATCAAGTAGCATTTAATTTTAAATGATTGTCTCTATCCTAAGCTGCCAATCCTAAAATGATAAACCCCATTTACTTACAATAATCTTTTTATACTGGTTATTAAGTTATGAATTTTAGGAGATATACTTTGAGGGGGTGTCTGAACTTCAGAAAGGTATTCAATAAATATTCCTTTTCAAAATGGACCCATTATTTTCTTTCAACAGAAACCTAACAATATGTTTCCAGTAACATTACATTGATTTATGCATTGCGTGCAATGCTACTTGAGATTAAGGCCACAGAGTTTCCAATTTTTAGTGACCTAATATAATACTGGAGTTCTTTCTGCATTGCACCACTGTCTTTTCCAACTTTGTTCTAAAAAGTGGAATTTAAATATTGATTAGACAAAAAAGGCCAAGAACAGGGTGGTGAGTCATCCATTTCCCTTGCCAGCACATGTGACTGCCCTGTACCTGCATGGATTTCCTCCGGAAACTCCAGTTTCCTCCCACACTCCAAAGACATGCTGGTAGGTGAATTGGCTCCTGTCTAAATTGGCCCTAGTATGTGTATGTATGAATGTAAGTTAGGAACCTTAGATTGTACGCCCCTTGAGGGTTAGTGACTGGTGTGAATGCACGACATATATGTAAAGTGCTATATAAATTGACGGTGCTATATAAGTACCTGTAATAAAATATTAATCAGAGCCTGATTGGCTCCTATGGCCACTAGTGTTGGACATCCCTCTTCAAGGAACCTTCATAGAGTTTTTATACAGGGTATTACAAGAGAGTGATATTAATATACATTTATCTGCTTAAATTGGTTGCTTAGAAAAGGCATATAAAGGTTTCTTAATGAATGCAATACGCATTTTTTTTCATCTTTTTCTTATCTCCCTGGAGTTCAGCTTTAAAACAGCATTATTAAAATAATATATAAAATTGTAAATAAGTTAAGTTCTAAGTCCTCTGTTTTACTGTGTGTTATTTTCTGTCTGTGTCCTTAAGTATATTCTTCAATATATATTTATATTTTAAGATTTGACATCTACGAGTCCAAGCAAAGGAACTGTCTCCCCAAGCCTCTCCAACCAGGGTAGCCCCATGTTGGATAATGATGTATTTGGTACAGCTGCGCCTGTCATGAGTGTTCCAGACCTTCGACACAAATCCACTCTGCCAGCCATGACCATAGGTACACTATATTTCATATTAATTGCTGTAGAAGATGTGCTCTAGTGGAAATGACAAGCGTGCATAAATATCCAGGAGTAGGGTCTGTAGAGCCTTATCTATATGTAAAAGGCCTTCAGTGTGCAGCTTCCTCTTCAACCCAAATATGTACCTGAGCCCGATCTCAATCCAGCAATGTGCACAAAAGCATTGGTTCTCCCGGGTCTCCCTCTTCTCATTGGCTCAGAAGCAGCAGCAGGAGCCATTGGCTTTCTCTACTGTCAATCACATCCAGTGAGTAGGGGTTGGGGCTGAGCTGCACTCTGTGTGCCTTATGGACAGTGGTATTCTGGGTACATTGCGGCATGGGTATGTCATACTTTTGTTTGAAATAAAATTGACTCATAACCATTATAGTTTCCCTTTAAGGCACAAGGAAGACCCAACCATATTGCAGTAACTCCTAGCAACAAGTTAGGTTTCAGTTTACTGTACTATTGAAAGATAATTACTGATTGGTTGCTATGACCTAATGTTTGATTTATTAATCCTATATAGTTTATAGTTTGCACCCATTTAAAGATGGCATTTTGGACAGCAAATCCATACACAGAGCGGGTCAATGATACTGTATATGCCTGTGCTATAAAAACATAATTGTAGACAGATATTGTTACTGTTTGTAGTGTGCCAGGATTGAAGTATATGTAGCACTACCCCTGCAGGAGCCACTTGGTAGATTGGGTTCTCTGTTCTTCTGCCTCAACTCTGAGAACAACCTCAGCCCCACTGACACACCACATTTGCCAAATGGATACTGCGCTGATACTTGGAGCTCAAGTATAAATACCCTGCACACAACTAAGGTTGAATATCAAAAAGCAAACATTAGGGAGTTAATGGTAAATTAACCCAATATATTGTCACTGTTTACTGTAAATAGCAGTATGCACATAAATGAGTAAGTATGGATTAGTTCAATCACAGTTCACCAGACAATATGGGGTTGATTTACTAAAATTTTAGAGTGCAGAATCTTGTGCAGCTGTACATGGTAGCCAGTCAGCTTTGCAATTAAGCTTTGACAATAAAAACTGGAGTCTGATTGGTTTCTATGCAAAGCTGCACCACATTTTGCACTCTCTTAGTAAATCAACCCCTATGTTTATTAGACTATAGCAGCTTAGAATGGAGTCCAATGCAGCTAAATTAGAGTAAACTCCATAATCCATAAAATCAGCAATAGGTAATGGCAATAGAAAACAGTAACAGCAATGATAATCAATACTGCCTAACTCCTCTGTAAACAGTAGGCTATATCCTTTTGAGTGCACTCTATATGAACAACAGTGATTAAATTTAAAACTCCCTAAAAAGGTACCTCTTACTATGGACAATAGAAAAGCTCTTGTGAAGCAGCCTATCAGAGTGAGCAGTCTTTACACTAGTTCTTCAGCCGGCTAGTGTAGGGGCCCAGTCGACACAGTGGTGTACATTAATACAAACCCAGTAGAGTCCACATGCTATAAATAATTCTGCTAGTCAGATGGCCAGTACCTTATGTGCTCAATCTCTGCTCAGCAATAGGTTTTTGACATCAGTGTCCTCTCACTAGTCCCAGCGATAAAGCAACAGGGATCTCACTGTTCAGATGTCAGCTCACTTCTGCAACTGCTTGTAGTGACTCTGGTCCTCAGCACAGGGAACTGGCTTGTAGCAGGTTGTGTACTGTATACTGGAGCTCCCCTGATGTTTCCATCTGTCTCCGCACTGCATGTCTACTGCAGTACATAAAAATAAATGTAACCAGTGTATTGCAAGGTACCATCCCCCACCACCCCCTACAAAGTAGACACCAAACTGCGAGCTAAAACAAAACGTTTTGGCATGTGGGCTAGAGTGCCCTCAGAGACATTGAGAGGTTTCATCTTACTTCCTGATGTGTCTGCAGAGCAGGAAGCATAGGGAAATCTATCCAATGGGACACAGATGTCGAAATAATTTAGTGGGGTTTTAATTATTTCCTAATCTATACAGAATTAAAAAAGCATTTTGATTTTAGATAGCCTCTCATCTCTGTTGATGAAGCAGCCATGAATTATAAAACCCAGCAATACATTGTATGGCTGCAAAAGCAGAAATGAGGACATTGCCTGCTGTGATTCAGAGAATAGTGGATATACATATTAAATGAAGAGGTCAAAAAGATTTTACTGCACATGTATGGTCAGCGATAGACACAAATTCCATTTGAAAATGGTCCAACTGCAGAGATTCGGCATCAAGGCTTGGATGCTGTACAATCCTTGCATCCTAAGATCTCATTCACATAGGGAGAATGTAGATAGCGTGAGTTTGGGGACCAGCACCCGCACCCAGACGGATGTCATATTGCAATGGACACCAATGGGACTACCTGCACGGGGATGCATGGAACTCCTCATCATCTCCATGCAGATTAACACTGTCCTGCAATGGTGGACAGTATTGTATGCCCTGTGTGAATGAGTTCTAAGGTTTGGTTCACACTTCCGCAAGTTTGCAGTCCATGTTTGCGTGGGCACAGCAGCAGAAAAAAAAAGGTGCCTGCACCTTTTTCAAAAAGTGGCAGCAGGGAAATTGCATGGTGCTTTTACACCATGTGATTTCCCAGTGTTTCCTGCACCCACCAATGTTTCTACAGGGCATTGTGTTTTGGCTGTTGGTGCTTGCTGGTGCTTGCTGGTGCAGGAACAGCTGTAATTCCCACATCAGCAACCACTCACCACAGTGTGAACCTAGCCTTGGAATGTTTGCTGTTACTCACAGTACTGCTGCTTGTATTTTAACTAGGGAACATAAGGCCATTAGGCACTTTTTCTATACAGACTAATAAACATATCTGACAGTTGCTTTTTAACATGTTTTTCAACCTGTTGACCAAATAGCAGGAATCAGGTGATTGGCATCTTATTGTACCTAAGCATATCCTGGTATAGTATAGGGAAATGTTATATTGACAGGTACATTTTAACATCATTCTCCAAAGCCAGACCTTTTTTTCTTATTTTGGAAAGAATGAGAACAGGTCAGAACCCCTGTCCAGTTTTCATTGTTTTTGCAGTTTGTGTCCCTGCTGGGCAGATTTACCCTCTCTATTTGTCCTAGTGATCATTGTTGCCAGAACAGAAACTGATGAGGAATCTAAAATTTTAGAGTTGGCACAGGCAGCAAGATAATGAGGGGAAATCTTTCTATGAGAACATTTGATTTGGTGACAACTGTCTACAAGGTGATTTCTCCTGACTTTTGAGAGACTTCCATTCAGTTCCTGTTATATCTTCACAGGACGTGAAGAAATATCTCTCAAATGGGATATTGATAGCAAAAAAAAAGGGGGATTTTAACCATTCCCTACTCAGTCAATAATAAATAAAAATGTTTTAGCCTTAGGTACTTTTAGGCATGAACTATTTTAACTAGAAGATACAATGTGGCTGATTTACTAAAGGAGTAAAGCATGATCACTTAAGTGAATGAGGGGAAGTTGTACAGCTGCGATGACTTCAATCACCCAAGGAAAATTTTTTTTCCCCTTGCATGTGATTGGGTATTCTTATGGAAAATGAGTTTCACCTCATTTACTAAGGTAAGTGAACATTTCCTTGCAAAGCAAATATGAAAATGCTCTATGTTAGTAAATTTAGACACAGTGTTTATCTCTTGATCTAAATTATTTTTTCAGGATTAGTATTGTATTAATTGGCTACTCTGAAATGTGATATTCCATACCTTTTGGGTGATACCTTTAGTGTCACTGTGCTTTTGGATATTCTTTAATTTTAACTTCTAACTCTGGTTTGTTTCTCATGTAGGTTCTCCAGTGGCTGCAAGTAGAACTTGGCCTTCTTTTGAAACTACATCTAGTCCTGCTGTGCCATTTTCAACAAGCTTTTCCATGCCATCTTCCCACACCTTCCCACCAGCAGCTTTCAGTTCACTTCATAGTGGTAGCTACCTCTCCTCTCTACCACCTCATATGATGCCTTCATCTTCAGTAGGACATGTGAACTCTCCAAATACATTGCTTCCCAGCATGATGACTCCTCCTGTTAGTCATGGGAATACCTTGCAACAAATGATGCAAAATGGAATGGTGCCACAAACTATGAATAGTGCTTTGGTTTCTAATGTCCCACCAGCTACCCAGTGGTCTCCAACCACACCCATGTTTTCTTTGGCTAATGTCTTATCTTTGGCTATGAGCATGGCTCAGACTTTGTTACCAGTGGCATCAACAGCTACCACACAGCCTCAAGGAATCGTTCATGGAGGAAATATCTTTCCCCAGCCAATGTCTGGACATGTTCAGCCTCCTCTGATGTATCCAACAAGTTATTCTCAACCTCAAAGTCCAGTCAAGGACTTTCAAGGACAGTGCCCTTATGTATATCCTGGATCCACCGATAGCAGCAGAATGTTTCTTCAAAATATGCCAGGGCAAACGTTTTCTAATGTGGGAGGCACTTTCTCTCAGGCCTTTGTGACCCCAGATTCAGGACCAGACAGCAGAATGTTTCCTCACCAAGTGCCACCTACCAATATACCAGGACACCCTACAAAGCTTCCCCAACAGATGGAAGTTCCATCTTCTCCTGGCATTGTGGCAAACTTTCCAGAACTGCAACCAGGTATAGGAAGCTTCAGTGAGACATCTTCAGCTCCAACTGGAAATCAGAGTATGGAAACTACTGGATGTGTGGTGGGACAGACCATGAACCAATCTGTAAGCATAAGCTTTTAATATGTGAGGTGGTATCAGACATTATTTCTGGACCTATGTCTTGCAGTCGTGTGATAAATAGGTTCAGTTCCAGGCAGGTACTCTAAACTTATCTATCCTTAGTTTAGGATGGAGGCTGCAAAACTAATTAAAGTTTAATTTTGCTTTCATGATGTAAGAAAGTTCTACGAACCTTCTTGCTTTAAGTAATTTTTTTCTAAAT